GTCTCAAAAAAAAAAAAAAAAAAAAAAAAAGAATGTGGTTCTACTCCATCCAGGTTAATACAAAAGATATAAAGTCTTCATCTTTTTTATAGCTGAATAGTAGTCCATGTTGTATGTATACCATAGTTTATTAATCCATTCCTGGGTTGATGGGCATTTAGGATGTTTCCACATCTTGCTGATAGTAAATTGAGCTGCAATTAGTGCAAATGTCCTTATAGTAAAATGCCTTTTTTTCTTCTGGGTAGATGCCTAGTAATGGGATTGTGGGATCAAATGTGAGGTGTAATTTGATTTCTTTGAGGATTCTCCATACTTCTTTCCTATAGAAGGCTATATTAGTTGCAGTTCCATTGACAGTGTAAAGGTATTCCCCTCTCTCCACATCCGTGCCAGCATCTGCAACTTTGGGACTTTGTGATGTGGACTATTCTCAATGGGATTAAGTGGTATCTCAGGATGGTTTTGATTTGCATTTCTCTGATTAGGGATGATGAGCATTTTTTCAAATGTTTTTAGCCATTTATTTGTCTTCCTCAGAGAAGGTTCTATTCATGTTCCTTGCCCAGTGACAGATGGGATTATTAGCTCTTTCTTTCTTTTTTTTTTTTTTAAATAGTCTCACTTTGTCACCCTCAGTAGAGTGCTGTGGCATCACAGCTCACAGCAACCTCAAAATCTTGGGCTCAAGTGATTCTTTTGTCTCAGCCTCCCAAGTAGCTGGGATTACAGACGCCCACCACAATGCCTGTCTATTTTTAGAGATGAGTGCTCACTCTGGCTCAGTCTGGTCTCAAACCTGTGAGCTCTGACGATCTGCCCACTTTGGCCTCCCAGAGTGCTGGGGTTATAGGCATGAGTCACCACACCCGGCTGTTAGCTCTTTTTTTTGTTGATGAATTTCAGTTTTCTGTAGATTCTAGACATCAACCCTTTGTCAGATTCCTAACATGCAAATACTTTTTCCTATTCTGAAGGTTGTCTGTTAGCTTTAATTGTATTTTTTGGAGATAGAGCCTCAAGCTGTCACCCTTGGTGGCATCACAGGTCACAGCAACCTCCAGCTCCTGGGCTTAAGTGATTCTCCTGCCTCCACCTCCCAAGTAGCTGGGACCACAGGTGCCTGCCACCATGCCCAGCTATTTTTTTGTTGCACC